CCCCAAAACCCCAAAACCCCAAAACCCCAAAACCCCAAAACCCCTTGAAGAAAGAATTAACTAGAATAAAAGAATAGCGATAGGAGAAGCAAAATAAGATTAAAATATATAATTGGCAGTGCATTTTAATTGAATGGCAGAGACATCTGTGAAGAATACTTCGAGATTGAAGTCCTATGAGAAAACTTCTATTCAAACACACAACACCTCACTACCACAAATGAATACATACTTCAATAAAACCTAGCTGCAGAGTACAATATCAATGATTTAAAAAGGATAAACTCGCCGCAACATTTAAGAGAAAATAAATATCAGTGCTCGGACTATTATCGGTTAGTAACAAAATGGACAGAAAGTCCTGAGACACTAAGGTGGTGGGGGAGGTGGAGAAAGAATGCACTCTAAGGATATGAATAACACTGTGACCTATAACCTAGCCAATAGCATTATGAAGAAAAGAAATAAGAATAAAGACAAATAAAACAGAAATAATAATACTCTCAATGGCACCCAGATTATGAGGGAGGCTCACTTTTACTTTGATAAAAACCCCTGCTACATTAAAGTAAAATATTAGACTTGATATTTTATTATTATATAGGATAAAGAATAACATGAGAATAGCAATATAAACCTTAAGAAGTGCTTGGAAACCAATGGTCCTGGAAGAATACCTAACTTCGGGTATCCTCACATTAACTTCGAGCAAGAAAGCACTTAAAACCTCTTATAAAATACAAGAAAATCTATTGTGAATTATTTGATTGGCTAGCCTCGAATAAGATTCGAATCTGTAGATGACAATTCAGACAATTAACAAGAAAAGTAAACTACAGATAGAGATCTACCATTCAAGAGTGCTTTGCAGTCTAAAAGACGATAGGATAGAATATATGAACACATGTAAGTTATCATAAATGCAAAATCAAAATTACGATAATGATAACCATTATAGAATGAAGTGTTTTACCTTTGGTAAAAAAGTAAAAAGGCAATCAGAATAGGAACACTAGTAAGTATCCAAAGTCGAGATCCTCTAGAGAAGATTCTAGAGACTCGGATTAGTGAGAGAGTACTTCTCCCTCGATAAGAAAAAGATCAATAGAAAGTTTAGATTTCCAGTCAATGAAGAAGGAGAACCTTTAAAGGGAAAGATCTCAGAAATATACGATGAACTGCAGTATTGCTAGGAATCTGATGTTGAAGATTTGAAAAAGCCAATGAAGAAAGAAAAGCGTGATAAAATGGAAGCAAAACTCATTAGGAAAATGCTCAAGGAAAGGCACTCCAGTCTAGAGATCAAAGCTGAGAAGAGGAATTATGAGATGAAATCTAGACTTGACCTATAGATTATCAAGGGCTTATAAATGTCCTCAGAGGGAGAGGAATTTTCAGATACTGACACATTTAAAGACTTAGAAGGCTAGTCGGTAAATAGTGTATATTCCAGTCCTAGACAAAGAATGGACAACGAATTTCTAGCATATGACCGTGTTATGCCTTTCGATTTTTTAACTCACAGGAAAGCTAAGTCATTCTTCTGTGACGAAATTCTTGATATTGATTTGATCCTTTAGGACAAAAAAATATTTTAGGAAAATTAAAAGAAATTTTCTAAGCACGAAGATGAAGTAGAGCAGCTGAGAGAAATACCAGAGATGAATGAAAGACTGAAAGCAATGCTAAAGGTACATCCCCGAAAAACTAAGAAGAAAGAGAAGAAAAATGTAATTAAAGGAGAGATGAGTTCGTCAAGTGATGAAGAAAAGTTTGATAGGTATAACTATGCTTAGAGAGTTCAAAATACTTAAATGAGGGATAATCATAATGAATTGATTGGAATGTTCTTTTAAAGGTCACAAGCCAGAAATCCTAGATATAAGAGTAATATTCACTTAGATTTAATAATCTTCTAGGAAAAATTTTGGAGTAGATAGTGTAGTTTAAATAGAGCATTTCTCCAGAAAAGAAAAAAGTTTTAAATGATAGATCATTTGTCATAGTAGATGTTAAGTCGCTTCATTCTCAAAAGCTAGCTTAGGTCAACCGTAAGAGGTTGTCAACTTAGATTTAAACTTCAGAGCAAAGCATTGATTTGAACGCCACTATTGATACTAAGAAACAAGAATAGCAAGAGTAATAGGAAAGGCAGATGTTTTAAATTTAGCAAGCTAAGAGATATATTATGAGAGAAAAGCTAGGCTTTAGTAGCTAAAATTACTATAACAATATAGAAATTTCAAAAGCCCAGCCTATCAATGAAGATAGGCAAAGAAATAGATCTTAAATATCTACAAATAAAGATTCTAGAATTAATCTTCTTAAGAGTGATGTCAGTACTGACAATATAGAGTAGACTTCAGCTAATTCTCCTTATAAGTAAGTTACTTAGCTGCCACAGATAGCAGACATTAAAAGAAATGTCTCTCCAGAAACGTGTAGAATTGATGATACGACTCAGAGGACTTATGATCAGAATTCAGTCATAAGTTAGAACCCTTAGTAAAGACCACATAATATATCAGCAATGAATTCAACCATATCATCTTATACAAACTTTGGAATCTCGATGCACTTTAACAATAAAAACTCATAATTGCCACTGAATATTAATGCTTATAGCACTTAAATGGTTCCTACTGAAGCATCAAATCAAAGAGCAGGAAATAAGTCCTTACACATACCAAGACACAAATCAAACATATCAACTATGGATGATGGGATAAGTAGCATGAATGATAGCATTAACAAATCTACTCAGAAAACATATTCTCAAGGGTTTACAATGTTCTCTGCAAAAATGGCTTTGAGAGAGTCTCCTTACACTCAGATTGAGTAAAACATGACTGATAGTAAATTGGCGCAGTATAATAAATATCAGGATCTAAAGCAAAAGCTCTTGAAGGGGAAAGATAATCATAAATTCAAAGGATATCTTGCTGAGAAGCTCAGACGAAAGTCGATTCTAAATTGTGACTTATTCAGAATAACTGATGTTGACTATAAGAAGAGAGTCAATATGATGCTTGAACGGATCGATTCAACCACAGGAACACAGTATAAAATATCCAGGTAACAATAAATTGATTGATAATCAGCCAAAGCTGAACTAATATTACATTATAAAATTTAATAATGAAAAAGGATAGTCTCTGAAATTAGCTTATGAGTGATTTGGGGTTTTGGGGTTTTGGGGTTTTGGGGTTTTGGGG